AGAACCGAGACAGAACCTGGCTGAAGAACCCGGCTACAGAACCTGGCGACCGAACCTGGCTGGAGAACCTAAACCGAACCTGGCTGGAGAACCTAGCGAGGGAACATCGCCACAGAACCCGGCTGGAGAAGTTAGCAAGAGAACATGGACACAGAACTTGGCTGGAGATTGTGGCTAGAGATCCTGGCAAGGCTGCTGATCAACTGAACGCTGCCCCCGTGTCATTCCTTCTTCGCCGACTCGGTCCACACCTTTGGGGACCCCTGGACCTGCTGGGGCTGGACCCCGGCACCAGGAGATCAGTGAGAAGGGCACTCACTGTCCTTGGGCCACCATGCTTTTGATTTAAGCTCCTTGCACTCTGGCTGAAGAGACTTCAGCCCCACCTTCCATCTACAATTGCCTGAGAGACTCCAACTGAGAACCCCCGGATCCCATCAATTGATTCCCGTTACTCACAGAACCCTAAGAGAGAAATAAATTTATGTTTTCATTAAAACACAGTAATTTATTATGGCACTCTTTGAAATAGCCCAAGGTCAGCAACACATAACAGATCTGGTGAATAAAACATTATTCATCTACACAATGGAATACTATGCAGCTATTAAAAAAGAAATGGAAGGTAATATAAACTAATATAGAGAGGTTGATCCAGGTTTAAATCTGCTCTGAAGGTTTCTTTGCAGATTGAAAAAAGATGTGTGGTGGGCAAATTCTTTTCCCTCGTTTGGTTCCTGATTTTTTAGGAAACAAAAGTACTTAGGGAATAGCATTTTTACATGGTTGGCACTCAGTTTACCTGACAGTGCCCTCGCTGTTAAGAAGAGGGACTTCTCCATGTTCACTGTAATTAAGTCCCACACCATCTGGGTGTAAGTTTAGGAAAATGTGAATGGGACCTACAGGAACATCTACTCTAATCTCCTTCTTAAGATAAGAAAACTCAGTGGAAGTGAAATAGCAGTAGGGCCAGGACTAGGACTCTCTTCATTGCACTCTGTACTACACACACCTACCAGATCTCTCTCATAAGTATTTATAAATAAACAATCACAGTATTGTGAAAGGGGGGTGTGGGGGAAGGCCACATGCTAACCTGACAAGTTCAGGGAAGGCCTGCATGGCAGTCTTGCAAACTTAAAGGCCTAAAGTAACCACAAAGGATGATGTGAAATTAAAACTTGAACTAAAAGCAGTTATAGTGGGTAGTCATGTCCTAGACCGGTATTTTTCCTGACAAGGTCAACCTTTATCTTAAATGAGCCTATCCGCCTTTTTGCATCTGCAATAATGTATCCTTGAAATGTTTGAATAATTTGCAACTTCCTTTTTTCCAGACCTCTTGGGGCACAACCTAATGTGCCTGGGTGCCAAGGCAGATACCACAAATTCCTTCATTGTTGCTATTACGTTAATTGTTGACTGTTAACTCTCCGTCTATCATTTCACTTTTTATCCAGTCCCAGGTCCCCCCATGCCCCCCCCGCCCGCCTTTGCTTTCAACCACCCCTCTAATCTATCTCCAATGGATTTCATGTAACCCACCTACTTCCCCTCCTTTGATTTCAATGTATAAAAATAGATGAGAAACCACCATTCTCTGGAGCATTATCCCAATCTATTGAGATACTGCTTCCTGGTAATTGTCGACAGTTTGACTCAAATAAACTCACAAAAATTCTTTACATGTTTGAATGTTTTTACGTTAACAGTATCTTATACACAAAAATGTTCTATCCATGCAACCTTTAGAGAGGATCTATTTTAAGCTTGTTTGTTTTCAAGGAGAAGGGATAACAGGTATATATGTTTATTTCTTTTTTTAAATTTATTAAATCTTTATTGTTCAGATTACAGTTATTCCTCTTTTTTCCCCCCATAGCTCCCCTCCACCCGGCTCCCACCCACCCTCTGCCCTTATCCCAACCACTGTCCTCATCCATAGGTGTAGGATTTTTGTCCAGTCTCTTCCTGCACCCCCCACCCCTTTCCCCCCAAGAATTGTCAGTCCACTCCCTTTCTATGTCCCTGATTCTGTTATATTCACCATTTATTCTGTTCATCAGACTTTTTATTCACTTAACTTTTAGATTCACTTGTTGATAGATATGTATTTGTGCATAATTTTTATCTTTACCTTTTTCTTCTTCCTCTTCTTAAAGAATACCTTTCAGCATTTCATATAATACTGGTTTGGTGGTGATGAACTCCTTTAGCTTTTTCTTATCAGTGAAGCTCTTTATCTGACCTTCAATTCTGAATGATAGATTTGCTGGGCAG